TTATATGCCTTCCTTTGATGCATTATTTTCATTGTTCCTTATAATGTGAGTAGTCACAAAAGCACTTGGAATTTCTCTATTCTTTCACAGTGGTTGTTTTGCATATTCTGAAATCACCTGTTTACTGTGATCTTATTGCAATATATATATATATATATATATATATATATATATATATATATATTAATATATATATATATATATATATATATGCAAGGAATTCGCGAGAGCAGGCGAAATATACACAAACACTGATCTCTGGATATATATATATATATATATATATATATATATATATATATATTATATATATATATATATATATATATGGTATTGATCAATAACAATACTGCGCTGGCCAAGGATTCGAACCCATGTTGTACTGGCCCGCCATTGTGAGCGAGAACCAAATACACCTTAACCCACAGGATTGGGTGGTCCTGTGGGTTAAGGCGTCATGTGGTTCTTGCTCCGGTACAATATGGGTTCAAAATATATATATATATATATATATATATATATATATATATATATATATATATATAATAATAATATATATATATATATATATATATATATATATATATTATATATATAAATATATATTATATATATATGCAATAAGATCACAGTAAACAGGTGATTTCAGAATATGCAAAACAACCACTGTGAAAGAATAGAGAAATTCCAAGCGCTTTCGTGACTACTCACATTATCAAGGAACTATGAAAGTAAAGCACCCAAGGAAGGTATATAAGGGGGTCTGGCCAACACCTCACTATCATGTAAGAGATTTTAACCATCCAATTGATTTTCAAAAAGTTGAGAAAGTAGTATCAAGCAAGTCCATGGTCGACTGGAATATAATTGAATCTTGTTTCATAAAAAGCAGTTTTGACAATAATATGAATATTTCCTTTGGTTTATATAAATTAGATCCAATTATAATTAATAGAATTTGGGAAGAATTTAATAATACACTGGACAAATAATAATTTAAAAAATTTTCTTGGGTAGAATAGTTTGTTGGTGGTTGTTCAAAGAACCTGTTCAGTTGGGTCGGCGCGCGTCAGGTGTTTAACCGTTGTGGGATCTGATAGTGAGGTGTTGGCCAGACCCCCTTATATACCTTCCTTGGATGCTTTACTTTCATAGTTCCTTGATAATGTTAGTCACGAAAGCGCTTGGAATTTCTCTATTCTTTCAGAGTGGTTGTTTTGCATATATATATATATATATATATATATATATATATATATATATATATTATATATATATATATATATATATATATATATATATATATATATGTGTGTGTGTGTGTGTGTGTGTCATGCCGAATAGGTAAAACTTTTGATTTTGACTTAAATGACAACACTCTTCTTGCCGAATAAGGCAAGCGAGAATTTGTGTATGCAATAAATTCCAAAAAATCGTTCTGAACCTAAAGAAAAGATGTATTTCATTGTGCTTATTTATTATTAAATTATTATAAATTTATCTAAAATATATTTAGCTCGATTAGGCTAAATTAAATTGCTCTTGTTATAATATGGTTAGATAATTTTCCTAAGGTTCTTTCGGTAGAAAATTATTATTATTTACATTAACATAAATGAAAAAAATAGATATCTTTAAACGTATAGGATTTTTTTTTAGAAAAGACTTAATTTTAAATGAGTTCTTGCTAATTGGCCAATTTTACCTATTCGGCACGGCATATATATATATATATATATATATATATATATATATATATATATATATATATATATATATATACAGTTAGATTTTTTTGCAGACAGTAAATGACAGACAAGCGTTCAAATGCATTTCGATTATTTAAGTATTGTATAATAATTTGGATTCTGACTGATTAAGTCAAGCATTCGTTAAAGTGTATTGGTAATAATAACTCTTACTATTCTTATAAGTAAGATTCTCCAGTTATTAAAGCTCCGATACTTGATAATCCTACACTACATGGACGTCCGCTGGAACTTTTTCTGGGCGATAGGGGAAGGGAGAGGAATTATTTTTCAAGGAGGAGCACAAACTTTTCGAGCGAAGGGAGGCAATGAGATAAACAGACTTAATGCTGGCAATCAATATAATTGTTTTCCCTATTTTTTTTTTTTTTAACTGACATCACTAAATTCTCTTGAGTACTTCCCAGCATTAATTGAAATTGAAATTAAGACTCATGTGCAACATCTGGGTATCTTTATTGTAGACGTTTTGCCATCCAGTGGCTTTATCAGTACAAATTCTAGGACATAAATTGAAGACAGTAGAACTATGTACAGAAGATGAGGTAATTAGACCCTCAGCCTTGGAGTTGGTGTGAAGAGCACCGTAGTCGTGGAGGTTCTAGAGCAGCACGAAGTACGAAGACGACCAGAGCTGTCATGAGGTGGGAAGGAAGAAGGATGAGAAAGGATGGAAATCTGGAAAAGGATGGGAGGGAGGAGGAGAGGATGAAAAAAAAAACAAGTGGCCCAACCACTTTGGAACATGTGGTACAGAAGTACTGTAGACGTAGATCGAAAGGGATGAACGATGTCGGTACTTGGCTCACTAGGAGAGGATGGCGAAGGCGGCGGCAAGAGCTGGGAGTGTTAGAAGGTAAGCAGGATGAGTTATATTGGTGATGGTCGGCTTGAGGCTTGTTAGGCTACTGTCCCATTAGAAAGAGTCTGGAACTTCGGCTTTGGCATGTAGATGAGTTTAAACTTGCGGTCAGGGTCTATCCCTGGATCAGCAAGGAGATTGAGACAACGTGATGGTCCGCAGACGTACTTGACTTCTTCGCTCTGGAGGAGGGGGAGCAATGTCTGTGCATCTATTTCATTAGGATACTGCCGAGTGGTGAAGAAAGAGACTCTACGTATCGAATTGTTGGGACGATTATCCTCAGAGTCAGAGGCAGGCGAAATCGTTGATTGGACAGTTTTGTTGGTGGTGGAAGACGAGGACGCTGCTCGTGTCTTGACAGATGTAGTGGCTGGCGTTGGAGGTGGTTTCTCATTGGTGGAGGGAGGTGGAGGCACGTGAGGCAGTGAGGGCTCTGATTGGTTCCTGGCAGTTGTGGTGGCTGGGGGAGGAAGCGGTCTCTCATTGGTGGAATGTGAAGTAGAGCAGGTGGCTTCTTCAGAAATCATATCTTGCAAGTCATCTGGTGCCTCGAAGCTGACGATTTTTGGAATAATCCTCTAAACATCAACTGAAGCAGGACTAGCTGGGAAGTTGAATGAAGGCAGATTGTCGAGGGCAAGAATTCCATTCACAGTTGTATTGAAACAACCCTGGTTAGAGTGCATTTTGCATGTGTGCATACATCAGGCAGTAGTAGAATTTTGTTGAAATATCATCTGGTAGAGGAGAGGCAATGAGTGGTGGAGGCTGCTGAGTGGCTTGTAAAATCTTGGTGGTGGTTGTCTGTAGCTTAGCTATAGCAGCATAAGTAGGAGAGTTTCCTGTAGTCTTCTTCAGGTCTTCCTTTGGCTACTTAGAAAGGATCTCCTTACAAACAGGACATTTGGCTGCCAATGTATGGTGGTCATTCTTACAGTTGATGCAGGTAGGAACAGCAGTTGAGGTGCAGGAACGAAAGTCGTGACCTTCAGACCCACAGGTTGAACAGATATTCTTGTTCTTCACATGTCATTCGGCAGTTGAATGATTGTATGAGTAGCATGTCCAACAAGGTGTTACATGATTGAAGCGTTTTGGTTCAATTTGACGAGGGTTGATAAAGTAGTAGGAGATGGCCAGGCCATCAGACAGTGCTCTGGTCGTCATAGTGACGTCCAGAAACGTGACCTTGAGCATCGAGGAAGCGTTGGGAATCTTCACAATAGAGGCAATCTTGGCCCAGGCGTTAAAGTCTTCAATTGATGACTTAATGTCGTCGGGAGGCATGGTTGTGATGAGCTTATCAAGGCGTTTCATGAACACTGACCGTTTAGCTAGCATGTAAGGTGAGGTAGAGATGGTAAAGCCATGGTCGTCTAATATCTTCAGTGCAGCAGGCGTGAATACCTTGTCTGCTTCTTCATCATCAAGAAAGGTGACAGGAAAAGCTTCTTTCAGAGTAGTAATGTTCGAGAACTTAACTCTCAGACTAGACTGGAGAGAAGATTCAAGTTCAAGCTTCGTGGCATCGTTGATGACAGCAGTCTTAGGTTTAATCCTCACACGATGAGACATCGTGGAGATGGTAAAGGTTCCCCTCCCCAACAGGGATCGTAGGGAGATTGAGAAGTGCAAGAGCGTCTGTGACCGTACAGGACGAAGTCTACAGAGCGAATCCTGTGTATCTGTGAATGTCTGTATTTCGTTCTGGAGCAGAGGCAAGGAGACTGGCGCTTATATTCTAACGTCAGGTTAGAATTTGTATTGATAAAGCCTTTGGATGGCGAAACATCCACATTAAAGCTACCCAGATGTTGCACATGTGTCTTAATTTCATCTTATCGGTATTGTATACAATTCTCGTACATTAATCGAAGTCTCTTACAGAAGTGTTTTCTTGCACAGATATGACATTCCAGCAAGACTGTTTTCCAAAGCAAGTTTTAGCTGGATGCGACCCATAACAGTCGGCTAAAACAAACAGGCATTTATGTTTATTAATAGGCAGAGAAGTGTAGCATGGGTGTAAGGAAACTTAACACAAGCCTGATCATGGAGGGGGAGCGAACAACTGCTTTAATTCCTTGCCCATCCTCTTATCATTCCAGCGGACGACGTTAATTGTTTTGCTTGATTAAACAAAATCTCATTTTAAGCATATGAGGAACATAATAGCAGTTAAGATAATGCAGTGTATTAAATATTTGTTTCATATTTTTCATTAATATTTATATTTTCACCTAGTTTTACTGACATCCAGTTTATTACTTTTTTTCAAAGACAAAAACCAAAGACAGCAACTTAAATCTCTCCCATAAATACACTGAAGATAATATGTAAAGCTATTTTCCCTTTTCTAGTCCTACCTGCCATCCTGAGTAGGTCCACGATCCGAACTTCATTTTACACCGCTGGTCATCGAAAGGGAACCAAGTAATATCTATTTTACAGGTAGACTTGAAGATCCCCGGTGGGATGTAGAGGCAGTTCCCGCTGGAGGACACGACCACCTTCGTCTGGTAAGTGCCGTCGAAGCCCTCGTCAGCGCTGGAAGGAAACAGCGACATTATTATTTCTTCCTGTAGGCAAAGAGGTTGGGCGATGTTTCTGTCGCTGCTGGTGTCAGAGAAGCTTTTTAGTAGCTACTGGTGTTTAATAGTAGTGATAATGTGAACTGTTTTGATAAGTATAAAACATGTAAACTACACATGGGTCATTATTGTCATACTTCACCTACACGCTAATATCACGTAAAGTCTGATCGGTTAACTAGGGAATATGACTAACTCTAGGTGTATATTCAGTAAGATATACACCTCTCATTTTACATTATTTACCCTTGACAAACAAATGCTAGACGTTCACAGTGTCGAAGGGAAAGAGTGTGATTGTTTTTCCTAGTGTAACATAAACGTAAGTGAATAAATGAACCATAAATTATGTCGTAAGAGAGAGGAAATACCACGAGTGTTCTATTTAATGTATTAGAAAAAATATTTCTCACCTTTAGAACTGTAATTTTTTTAACAACTTCTTACTGAGAGTGGAGATTCTATAACACGTAACGTAATATACAAGGTATTCCTGTTGTCTTGCAAAATCGTAATCAAAGCACAGTAATTCACTGAACCGAGTGGGTGTCGAACCATGGCAAGCCTATCCTAAAATTAGCAGGCTAGTACGTTATTTACTGTACCATGCTAGCTTAATAACAATTAAACTAAATTAAATCTACACACACTAGGAGGTTAGCATGAGCTACACTGTGACCACAAATGGAGTTTTTTACAGACGAATCTCACACCAATATGGTTGTCGTAACTCTAGCTGAAGGCACTTCAAAGCCGTTATGAGTGACCTGGGATATCGTAATGTCTCGATTGTGAACTCACTGAGCGGAGTGGGGTTCGATATATGTTAAGCGATCAGATTACACCTCAAGGTATCGAACAATTTTAGTAAAACAATAATGAGATGAATAACTGCAGCAGAAAAGTGATAAGAGTCACGAAATTAATTGTAAAGAATTAATGCATATCGCAGCAATTTGAGTGTAAAATGAACATCGATGGATAGACAAAGAACTGCTATTATACTTAATCATATACCATGTGAAGACAGCATCAGCATTGACTTGATTACAAGACAACTGTTGATCACAGATTCCAGGAGGACTCCTTATGATACATGTTTTTAATTATATTCCTAAATCTTATCATAGTCGTATTCACTGTACTAAATAAATAATGGGTGCTCCCGATTATTAGAATCAACTAAAAATGCAAGATAATTTGACCTTTAATCATAATTATCACTCATAATGATGGCAAATCACAATAAAAGAAAAATTAAATTATTAAGTTGTTTTCCCAGATATTTTTGATATTTTATAATTATAGATCATATCATACTCTATCAAACTGGTTGGTTAATGATTAGTTATTGGGGTTTGAAGCCTGTCGACTACACGAGGGTAACCTTTTCACCACCAGATAAGAATACACCAATACCTAAAATAGTGATTAAACTCTCAGCGTATATACGCTGAGAGACATGCACCTCTCGCCATACACATCCTGTTTTTATTCAGTAATAAAACTAACAAAAAGTAATGTCAAATAATTTTAAATTTTTAAAAGACAAAATTAATAAGAATAAAATGTAGTGGTGTTAGCGTTCCTTTGGTAAGCTAAGTAAACAGAACATTTCTTTCTGAATCAGGAATTGCAGATGTCCACTTCAAAATAAAGAAATCCTCCAAATTAATAGACTGCAAACTCAGTCAATAAAAAGGGTTATAAAATTCAACGGTATTTCCATATTTATTGCAAATTAAATTCCGTTTTTATACAATTTGCCAAATTGTATTCCAATCCATGGAGTGAAAATACTCCTCTTCATCAGTGCACACGTTGATGGCATCAGTGAACACGTTGATGGCATCAGTGCACACGTTGATGATCAAACAGTGCATCATGGTTGATGTATCAGTGCACAGGTTAGGTTAGATGGTATCGGTGCACACATTGATGGTATCAGTGCACACGTTGATGGTAACAGTGCACACATTGATGGCATCAGTGCACACGTTGATGGCATCAGTGCACACGTTGATGGCATCAGTGCACAGGTTGATGGTATCAGTGCACACATTGATGGTATCAGTACACACATTGATGGCATCAGTGCACACGTTGATGGCATCAGTGTGACTGGAAATGATCAAAAACAGCAAGCACGAATTTGATGCTGACAAGTGAGACTGTGAAGCTAATATCTGAGAGAAAACCTGGACCGCGGAGGCTTGTCAAGGTGGCCTGGAGTCGTAAGGAAGAGAATGAACAGATTGTTACCATTACAAATGTCTGCAATAAACCGGTAAGTCGTTGGATCAAGAGAGCAATAAAAAACAAGAGAAGTCAGTCTCTAAACATTTACGGGTTAAACGCTTCGACATGAAGATGATAATAAAAAAGTTCAACAGAGATGATCTTTCTCGCTCAGAGAAAGATGATCGTATACTTTTGAAATCTTCCTGGTTATTTTCAGTTATCTCATTGCTTAGACGTGTAGTCTTGTTTGGTTTGCTTTTAAGAACGTCTCGTGACCATAATATTAATAATGTTTTTTTGCGATAGAACATATATTTTTATTATTATGTATCCTCATCTAGCCTACAGAAGAATAAAAATTATTATACCATGAGCTTCAATAGTTCACAAGAAGCCCCACACTTACAACATAGAGATGAGGAAACTCTAGACAACGTTTATTCCCTTAGAAGGAGGCAAGGCTCCAGAAGACTGAAAACTAGCAAGTGTTACCCAAATTTTCAAGAAGGAAGACAAGATCTGTGTTCTCAAGAGTCGTTCCATCAGCTTGACATCAATTTTAGATAAATATATAGAAACTCTTATTATGGTTAATTTTCTGAAGCACTGATTTAATATCTGAAGATTAACATGGATTTCACAATTCCATTTTTTAATATATGCATATATATGTATATATATATATATATATATATATATGTATGTATGTATGTATGTATGTATGTGTGTGTGTGTGTGTGTGTGTGTGTGTGTGTGTGTGTAAAATTGGTCAATTAGCAAGAACTCATTTAAAATTAACTCTTTTCTATAATTTTCTCTTATACGTTTTGAAGATATATTTTTTTCATTTATGTTAATGTAAAAATTAATAATTATGTGCCAAAAACCTTAGGAAACTTACCAACACTTATTTAAAAAAGGGCAATTTAATTTAGCCTAATCCAGCTAAATATATTTTAGATAAGTTTGCCATAATTTAATAATAAGCAAACTCAATGAAATTCAATTTTTTCGTTAGGTTCAGAATGAGTTTTGCCAAATTACTGCATACACAAATTTTCGCTTGCCTTATTCGGCAAGAAGAACATTATTATTTAAGGCAAAATCTCAAGTTTTATCCATTTAGCAGAATCACTGTGAAAAAAATAGTGATATTCCAACCGGTTTCGTGACTTCTCACATTATCAAGGAATTGTTTAAATAAATGATCAACAGGAAGGCATGTAACGGCGAGACTACACCTCACAGTCACATCACAACACCCGACTCTGTGAAACACAACTGATACTTTACCCAAGCACTGAGATTTTTTACTTGTCTAATGTATCTTAAATTCTTCCCGAATTTTATTAATATGTAAATGAATCCAATTTGTATAAACCAAAAGCAATATTCTATATTATATTCATGCCGACCATGGACTTATACACAAATAACCCGCACGTAGGAGAGAGGAGCTTACGACGACGTTCCGGTCCGACTTGGAACATTTACGATCACATCGTCTGGTTGAATCTTCCCTTATACACAACTTTCCTTGTTTGAATCCTAGTTCTGGCTTTGTCTCTGTTGATGCCTTCCTTTCTCATTACATTGTAAAATGCTCCAAGCTTCAGAACACCCGTGACTTAAGGTGATTCTTTTTTCCCCTTCTCCCTCTTCCCCTTTCCTCTTTCTTCTTTGGGTTTTCTTTCTTATGTCTTGGGTATTTGGTCCATTATTATTATATTTCCCCTTCTGTGTTCTTGTTCCTGCCCTTTGAAGGCCCCTAGCTCCCTTGCAGTGCTCCTCTTTCTTAGTCTTAGACTACGATTACTTCTTTTCCTACTACCTCTCTTGTCCCGTCCCTGTCTGTTGGCTTATATATACTCCCTCCTTCTCTCCTGTTTGTTAGTGTGACTCTGTAAATGGTCCAAGTCGGACCGAAATGTCGTCGTAAGCTCATCTCTCCTATGTGCGGGTTATTTGTGTATTGTTCCAGTCACGGTATTGTGCCTTTTTGTTATTTATTTATGACCATGGACTTGCTTAATACAATTTTCTTAGCCTTTTGAAACTCAATGCTAATGCTATATTTATGTTGCTTTAATCTTATTTCAAGATTTTTACCAGTTTGACTGTAATAAACTTTATCATATATTTTACAAGGAATCTCGTAGACACATCTGTCAGCATTTTTGGGGGAATTTTTTATCTGTATCAACATTTGTAAATACAACTTTGATATTAAAATTTTTAAGTAGAGACGGCATATCAACCAAGTTTTCATGGTAAGGAAGAACCAACATATTTTTAGTTGAATAAGGTTGGCTGTCATTTTTAGAATTGTAAAAAGTATTTCTGACAGTTTTAAAGAATTTATCATTTAAGTTTCTTGGATATTTTAGATCATTAGCTGTTTCCTAAATTTCTGAGATTTCTTCCTCTATGAACTCCTGACTGCAAATACGCTCTCAAAAACATGAGAATACCAACAATTTAAATGTATCTTGATGTGAAGAACAACAGTGTACATAGGAGCAGTTATTTCTTGGTTTTCTGTAAATTTTAAACTTAAAATTATTGTTACCCTTAATAATTAAAACATCTAGAAAAGCCAAAAATTTATTGTCTTCGAACTCAACAGTAAAATTTATAGAACGCGCTAAACTATTTAATTTAACATGGAAATTATTTATATCTATATTCTTAAGGCATAGACAAAATTATCATCAA